TTAAAAATTTGAAAATCTGTAATTGAGTTAATAACTATATAAAGAATCTATAATTAAAATTTCATTTAATTATATCAATTGAATAAAAAGTTATGAATACCTAAAAATCACTGTTTTTGGTGTAAAAGGGTGGCCCAAAAGGGGGGTGGCCGAAAAGTAGGGTAGTGGACTTAATCTTGGTTTTTGTATATATAGATATAAATCTATACTGACTCATCCCTCATCCCTCATCCCTCCATCTCCCCAAACCCAAACTACCTTAATTATATATTTATATTGGATTGAATCTTAATAGCAATCACATTAACCCCAATAATAGCTTTACCCCTCCCTATATCCCTATACCCACCCCTATACCCCCTATTCACTACTCCAGTATCCACCCAATATAATTCACATTCACAATCACATTCACAATCACATTCAAATTCACCTGATAACTATGACCATGACCATGACCTATGTCCGGTTTAGCGAATGCAGTAGCCCCTCCCCTCCCCTCCCCTCTCCTCTCCTCTCCTCTCCTCCCTATTCGTGTGTACAGTATTTCCAAGTCATTCTGAATACTAAAAACTCATTTCTACAATACCGGTATTGGTTATTCAAGATTCTTTCTGTACAGCTGTGTTACTTATACTCGAGTGGAGCCAAACTAATTTTCGGACATCACATCATCACAGGGATAGGATAGCAACACAACATGATCATCTCTCATCCCAATTCTTTCAATATGCATCGTGATTCTCATTTAATTCTCATCTGCATACATACATACATTGGCTCCTTCGCATCCATTTCACTTTTTCCTTTCTTCAGCTATCTCCCCCTGTCACCATATATATTCGTCGTCATAATCACTAGCAATCGATAAACCTCCCCCCCCCCTCAGTTCCATCAGACCATCCACCCGATCCTCATCCATGCATCTTCATCGCAAAAAATAGTAGTAATAGTAGCAAACACTGCCAGTCCGCACAAGAACGATTGTTGTGAAATGTAAAGTAGTTAGAGCCATGTAGAAAATTTCCCAGATATGCGAGATAAAACAAGGCAGTTCCATGCACCAAACAGATATACTTCGCCTCAATGTATTTGACGAAACGTGATTTAGTCCATTTCCCCCAAAAACGCCCTTTCCCATTGGGGAACATGGTTCGGATGAGATGATTGAAAAGAATAACAAGTACTCGCAGGTGGTGGTATCTACGAAAAAGAAAATGGAAATAATGGTGGATGTTTCCTATGCCCATAAATCCATGCATATATCATCGACATTCGGCCAAGATGGTCATCACACTAGCCGCTATGCGCACGCATCAGAAGCTACAGAACTGCTTAGTACAGTTTCTGGAAATTTAAGAATGTGAATCAGCAAGTGCTTACCCTTGCAAGTGGATCCTCAGCATCTGCCGCTACGATCGAAGGACTCTCCAAACTCCCATGATTTATAGGGCCGGTAGTCGTGTATGCACGAGGCTCGATAGCCGGTCTCATGTGGGTTGGTGTGGGACTCGATGAAGAATGCTGTGCGGGTCCGCGAGTACCATTCTGCGTGTTTGGACTGTCTTCGTTGGCAGATTGCCTGACCTCCCTACCCTTTTCTAAGAGTGCTCCGCCGAGTGTTGCGCATTTCAAGATCGTTTGGATTAGATGATTTTGCTTCAGAGGCTTAGAAAGATATTCATCCATCTGGGCTTGAATACACTTCTCGCGATCACCCAACATAGCGTGTGCTGTAAGAGCGATGATCGGCGTTCTTTGCGTTCCAAGGCTTCGTTCGTACTCTCTAATCTTAGCCGTTGCTTCGAATCCTCCCTATAATGATGTTAGCTATCTCCCCTGTGGTAAGTTGATTCACGTTGCGCTTACCATAATTGGCATTTGAACATCCATGAGAATGACGTCGTATCGTTTCTCCTTGATAGCGTCCAGTGCCTCTTGACCATTTCCGACGACGGTAACAACGTGATGGTACTTCTCCAAGATTTTCACGGCTAAGCGTTGATTAACGATGTTATCTTCGGCCAGGAGAATGTCGAATGATTTGGTATTGTCGGCTAACGAAGGTGCAGCTCGGTTCTCTAACGCAGGAATCATACCATTGCCAAGGTCGATTGTCAAACATGGCGTGGTCATGTAAGAAGTGATACCAAGGTCCAAAGCAGACTTCAAGCTGACATGAACAACTGGAGCTAAGAGTACAATCGGAATGTACTTGAACTCATCGATTGATCTCAGTTTTCGGGCACTCTCGATCGAGTCCACAACAATCACATCATAGGTTGAAGCAATCTTCTCCTTAGTTCTTCCATTTCCGAGAAGAATCGTATGCTGTTCCGAATCGACAACAACGGGAACCAAGCCAAGTTGTGTAAGCATGGTGATTATTTCTTTGCCATGACCAGTTTGTCCTTTGTCGATGAACAGAACATTGTGACCTTGATATGGCTTGAGTTGTTTCTGAATGAAGGTGATATCTGAGGTTGCGAGACGGACTGTACATGTGAAGTAGAATGAACTGCCTTTTCCGTACTGGCTCTTAACCCAGACATCTCCACGCATGAGGTTCACGAGTCTCTTCGAGATTGATAGACCTAGACCAGTACCTCCGAATTTCCTCGTCATAGAGCCATCGGCTTGCTGGAAAGTGTCGAAAATCAAGTTGAGCTTATCAGCTTGAATACCAATACCAGTGTCAGATACGCAGAACTCGACTGCGTATTCGTTTGGCGCGCAATGATCTTGTTCGGCTTTTTGGATAGTCAAAGAAACTTCACCATGCTCTGTGAATTTGATGGCATTTCCAACCAAATTGAGTATAATTTGTCGAAGACGGAACGAATCACCCACGACGTGATCTGGTACGGAGCTATCCACACGGTAGGTGAGATCCAAGAATTTCTCATTAGCCTTGACAGCAAGTGTTTTCAGTGCGTTGAAAACGGTTCCTCGAAGGGTATATGGGATTTCCTCCATGATCATGCGGTTTGCTTCGATCTTCGACAAATCGAGAATATCATCTATGATGGTCAATAAACTGTTGGCCAAGTTATGGACAATGTTGAGCATCTCTCGCTGATATTGGGTAAGATCCGTATCTAGCGTCAATTGGGTCATTCCAATAATGCCGTTCCTATATCGGACGTCAGTAGGGAAGGAAATAATGCGGGCATTATGATTAGGACAAGTGACTTACATCTATAGTCGCGAGAAAATTGGTTCACATTAGCAAAAGATCAATTATATAAGGATGAACAAGGAAGGGGGTCAGGAAAAGAGTACTAACGGGTGTTCGGATCTCGTGAGACATATTAGCCAAGAATTCAGACTTCGTTCTGTTGGCGAATTCGGCTGCCTCCCTAGCCAAGGTGTTTCTTTGAATACTATCCCTCAAATTGTACACCATCTGGTTGATCTTGCGTTTCAGCTCATCCATTTCTCCTGATGCCTCAACGGTAATCAGCTTCGTGAAGTCGCCATCAGTGGCAGCGTTAGTGATGTCGCCAAAGGCGCGCACTTGGGTCGTCAAGTTGTTGGCCATGGTATTGACGTCCGTTGTGATCTCTTTCCAGCGGCCGCCAATCCCAGCAACGTCAGCTTGGCCGCCCATCTTACCATCCACACCCACATCCTTGGCGACTCTTTGCACTTCGTTGGAGAAGATACTCAATCTGTCTACCATGTTGTTGATGGTTTCCTTTAGAATGAGTATTTCACCGGCAGCAGCAACCTCAATCTTCTGACTCATGTCTCCATTGGCAATAGCTTGTGTAACAGTCGATATACCTCGTACTTGAGTAGTCAAATTTCTGGCCATCGTGTTCACATTTTCGGTGAGGTCTTTCCACTTTCCTTCCACGTTATCAACCTGGGCTTGACCACCAAGGGTTCCGTCAGTTCCGACCTCCCTAGCGACCTTGCTAACCTCAAACGCAAATGTGCCAAGCCTGTCCACCATGGTGTTGATGGTATCTTTAAGCGAAGCGATTTCTCCCTGGACTTCCACTTCGATCTTCTTGGTCAAGTCTCCTCTTGCGACAGCAGTAGTAACCTTTGCGATCTCTCGTACTTGTGTCGTAAGATTCATGGCCATACCATTCACATTTTCGGTGAGGTCTCTCCAAGTACCTTCCACATCATGCACTGTTGCCTGTCCACCCAGTCTACCTTCTGTACCGACCTCCCTAGCAATCTTCGTAACTTCTCGCGCAAATTGTTGTAATTGGTCCACCATGGAATTTATAGTCTCTTTCAACTGCTTGATTTCACCCTTGCATTCTGCCTGAACCTTTTGAGTCAGATCTCCCTTCGCGACGGCTGTTGTGACAATTGCTATATCGCGCACTTGTGTGGTAAGATTGTTGGCCATGGCGTTGACATTGACAATCAAAGTGTTCCACATGCCCTGTACGCCTTCGATTTCTGCTTGACCCCCAAGAATACCCTCGGTTCCGACATCTCTTGCTACGCGGGTGACTTCGGCGGCGAAGGTTCTGAGTTGATCCACCATGGTATTAATAGTTTGTTGCAATTGGAGTATCTCGCCCTGAGCCGGTCTCTCAATTTTCTGTGTAAGATCTCCATGGGCTACGGCGGTAGTGACGGATGCAATTTCTCGGACTTGATCAGTGAGATTCTGTGCCATAACGTTGACTACAAACAGTTAGTAAGCTCGCCCACATCGTTCGGGCAAGTTGTTCAAAATGGCAAAGCACGTACCATTGTCAGTCAACTCCTTCCATGTACCATCAACACCAGATATCTTGGCTTGTCCACCAAGGATACCTTCTGTGCCGACTTCCCTAGCTACACGAGAAACTTCACTTGAGAATATCTGAAGCTGATCCATCATAGTATTGATAACCTAGATAAAGTTAGAGGACGAAGAGGACGAAAACTCTGATGTATAATGCTTACCCGCTTGAAAGTTGTGATTTCAGGGTCCATCTCCACGGAGTGGATTTGTACCTTCTTACTAAGATCACCTCTAGCTACAGCTGTGACAATCTCTCCAATTTCCCGTAGAGCCTTTTGGAAAGCCTCGTTGGCCTGTTGATGCTTCTTCAGCTCTCTTTCGAGTGCTGCTACACGCTCCACTTCGAGAACATTGAGTGCTTGTTCTTGTCTCTGCTTCTGATCAAATAGTTGAGCATGTACACCGGCCAACTCAGATTTCTGACTATTAAGCTGTTTTGATTGTTCGTTGACATGTTCGCGGAGTGCTTCGAGTTCCTCATCACTTAATTTCGTAAATTTAGGAGGTCGTTCACCGCCCGAAGGGATTTCTCTTGCGGCAAGTAACGAATTTACGAGCTGTTGTCGAGATGCAATACTCTTCGAAACTCGGGATGGAGCGCCCGTGAGTACATCGGCGAAGGCAGACGGTGCTCCTATTTCATTTGGCGTATCAGGTAGATCATGAATGCTGTCTGTGATCGCTTTTGTTTCTAATCTCTGAACCCTCAATACCAACGCCGCAAGTGCTTGCTCGAGGGCAAGCTTTCCTGCTGTATCTGCACCTGGTATCCTAATCCCCGTATTGCCGTAAACATTTGACTGTGGAAGATCGAGACTCGATAATGCAAGACTTTGCAGGATCGCAGTCGTGGCGGCTAATGTAGAGTCTTCCATGTTGCTCTCAGAATATGTAGCCAAGCTGCTAGGTGGTGACCGAGAATTTCCCCTCTATCATGAATTCGAAAAAAACTTTCGTTGCCCGCTTCGATGGTATCGGTTTTTCGATGGGTAAATCAAATACGAGGTGGGAGGAAGGAGTGAATGAGCTGCAGGTTTGTTAGGATAAGATGAATAGTGAGTCAAAAGACGTCACGATTGCATGACGCTCTTGAATGTGTGTAAAAAAGGGAATGGGTTTTTACAATGATTGGAGTTGAATAAGTATCACCACCTCAACTCTTTCGAAGATGTGGATGTCTTTTCTTTCGTAGAAGTCCAACGGCGGCTGTCTCCCTTGTCAAGTCAACACTTTGATGTCCACCACGAAGCGATAATGCCGATTCCCGATTGGAATGAATATTAAAACAGCGCAGGGAATGGATTGATACGAGGTGATAAGACAGAAGAAGGTGAAGCCAGTAAAAAGAAAGTAAAGTGTATGCCGGAAAACTGAGAGAGCAGTTGGGAGATCGGGTTTTCGCTGCTGCTAGAGTACACCAGAAGGTTCGTTCGTTGTCGTTATTGTAATCTTAGTTTAATTTGTCCTGTATTGTAGTTGGTTGATCTTGATAAAAGAAAGAATGAAAATCTTTCTACAATATTAGTGTAGGAATTTAATGAAAGTCGAATATTGATAGACAAGGTGATATTCACATTCACTCAGGAAAAGGATCTGATAGTAAGATTCCTTTCCTTTTCCTTTTCCTTCAGTCACTGTATAGGGTAGTACTCGAATAAGTTTTTGAGAGACTCTTACTAGGTGTGTATACCTGGAACTAATATTGGCTTAGCGACTTATTAGGTATCAATATTAAATCAAAAGAACATTCTATAAAGTAAGGAAGGAATAAATAAACCTTCTGTTATTTAACTCATATGGCAACTGTAATTGAGTGAAGAGAAATATCAAAAATCAAGAAAATTCCATCTTGAACAAAAGGCTGAATCCTTTCTGTGGTGGTTCAAAGAATGAAACAAAACAATTCAGTGCTCTAATTATCTAATTATATCAAATTCTCGAAATAGCTAGATATCTGTCTTTGACTTCTCTCTTGTCATATTCTTATTCTTTCCACTTGTCCATTTCCTGTGTTGTGTTCTACTCAGGGATAAAGATAGATAAATTAATGGACGAATCGTAAAGCCATCTCATATTCAACCGTCACATCACGAGCCTTTGACCAAGAGTGGTTCATCAGAATTGTATTACAGTAAAAAGCCATAGTCATCACTTACATATTCCATAAACGCTTCTTAGAGATTATCAGATTATCATGAAAAGATCAAATTCATGGCATCAGACACTTTTATCCCTTGGTATATTACGAGTATATGATCTTCCTTTCCTGTGATCATCTACAGTACAAGGGATATTCTATGTTGAATTGATATTACTCGAGTAAATTGCCTGAAACTCAAAAGTCTCAAGCACCACACACCTGAATGAACCTGAATCAACCTGAACCTGAATAATGAACCTGAACCTATCCCAAAGTCCCAAAGTCCCAAACTCTTTTATATTAGTTGATGGGACCGATCCCTCGGTTATCCTTCCCTCTCCCTTTCTCTTCTTTTCTATGAACAGAGAAGGAACCAGTAAACCTTTTCAACACAACGCCGCTTCAATCATTCTCAGTCACACGAAAGCTACGAGAACCTCGAAATCTCCATAAACACCTCACTCACAATTCTAAAGCGGCCTTCCCAACCAAGGGATTCTGCACATCAGTGGCATGAGTGGACGCATCCACCCATCCCATCTACCTGCCTGTAGTACCAAAACTGACGGGTTGTCTCTAACCCCCCCCACCAACCAACCCCTATCAAATGATCCGCAACTGGAGGCTGTGTAATCTTACAACGCTGCATGATTCATAGCGAAACCGACCTCTACAAACAAAGCAAAACAAAACATTCCAAGAGTCGCTTAACATTTGAGCAACCTCTTTATATCATACAACAGTATCCGAGAGATAAAGAAAATCCTTCCAATTCCAATTCATATAAATCCTTATCAGATCCTGTATCAATCACCAAAAAAAACCCAACTACCGATACACCGTAATATCCCGACCAGAAGAAAATCAGGGTCCTAAAAAGAAAAACTTAATACAGTGGAACCCTTCTACTTTAGTCTTTAGTAACTCATCAGCACTTATATTTGGTACCAATTCTCCTCTTCCCCACAAATAACACTCGGGGTTATGTGTGTATATATTGATACTTTTTTATTTATACTACTCACCTACTCGAGTACTCTGAATACCATACCATACCCATACCATACCATACCGGTACTTGACTCACCCTCACTCACCTTCACTATCCAGGACCACATAACATAACATAACATGACCTAGCTCTCCTTACCTATCCTACCACCTATCCTACCTTACTTCAGTACTCATTCAATTCATATACATGAAACTCATCCAATCCACCCACCAGCCCACCATTATATAAGGCGACCTATCAGGCTATCACCCACATCAATCTATCTATCCACCAACCCCAACCACCCTTATCCTTCTCAAATACTCAAATACTAATACAGTAGTCAATCCCACCTCGACGATCTCTATCTCTTTTTTAAATTTCTTCTCTTCTCTTTTCTTCTCTTTTCAATAACGTTACTCGAGTACATACTATTTATTATATAGGCTCTAATAATATTAAAATATAATTAATTAACATGACTCTTGTATATATACGATATCAGTATTATACTCTAACAAGAGAATGAATACCGACAAAACTCAACTATACCGGATTTGCTTAGTCCTAATGGTGAATAAGGTTTCGGTAGATAAACCTTGATCACGACTATTATTGGGAACAGAATCTGTAATATTCTTTTACTATCCACTTCGACACTAGCCAATGGAAGCCTATGACCCCTTTTGAATAAGCCAATGAAAGCATATACTTGCATATACTTAGGGTTTATCTACCGAAACCTTATTCACCATTAGGACTAAGCAAATCCGGTATAGTTGAGTTTTGTCGGTATTCATTCTCTTATATTCTTATATCGTTATTATTTTATTAATATTTATTTTTATAACTACTCTTGTTTATATATAAATTTATACTATCTATCGTATATACTATCATATCTCACTTCACTTCATATCACTACTATACAATCTAATAATCCAATTCATTTAATCTATATTTTCATATTTCATTTCATTTCATTTAATTTCATATTCCTACATACACATACCCACCCAGCCACCCACTACACTACACTTCACCATAACCATAGCCATTTCCAGTTCGACTCGGCCCAGTCTACTCGTACTTCAGTCTTTCGTCTAGTCTAGCTAAACTAACTAACTTCAAACTCTACCTTTAGCCTAGCAGCAGCAGCAGCCATGAAGCCAGCCAGCCAACCAACACACAATCTCAACCCTCACCTCACTCTGACTTTGACTCTGATCATCCTCTACACAATTAAATAGCTACCCGTTCCCTTCTTTCTTTCCGGAATATCTTCCTTCCCCCTTCCATCTTTCCCACCACTATTCACCCTCAACATCATCAAAACCAATCCTACTAATAAGCCTCGCCGAAAAAGAAAAGAAAAGAAGAATCTCTAAATCCCGAAACAAATATGCCAGTGGTATCTCTCAATGAAAAAACGCCATCCATCCATCCATCCTATCCCACCTCCTCTCATAAAGACTCATGATTACTTCCCATCCATTCCCATCTCCCATCTGCACCTAAGCCCTCTCTATCTCCTCGGCAAATTATTCGCCCCAAATCTTGGTCCACCTCCACTCGCCAGACTCTGTCTCACAATCATTTCCGCCGCCGCAGCAGCTGCTAATCTCTCTTTCTGTCTACTCCTATCCCTCAAATAGGCCGTAGCCTCCGGTCTCATCCTCAAAATTCTCAAGATCATATCATCACTTGGATCTGCCTGTGCCTGCTTCCTCTTTTCCTCCTTAGCCTTCTTCATCGTTCCCAGATTTCGACTCAACATAATACTCTTACTCCTACGCATCGAAGTCGAGCCCATGAGGCCTCCAAATGAAGCACCGAGAGTAGCGGGTGCTGAAAGACGATTGCGTTGTTGTTGAGCACGTTGAGCGGTTGCGGTAGCCATTCTTTCAGAGGTGCGGATGAGGTTGTCGGTGGTGTCAAAGTAGAAGAAGTTGAGGGAGGCGAGTTCGTGGTATTTGGGGGATTTAAGAACATCGGCTGCCACTCCCATTGCTTCGCCAGTTTGCTCATCTCGAGCGTAAAAGAATTCGAAGAGAAGTTCAAGCCATTTAAAAACAATGTCCATTTCTTGTTGTGTGAGTGGTCTTTGAGTAGATGGTTTGTCTGAGAGAGGCGGGACTAGGAGACTCTCAAGTGCAAGAAGAACTTCCTTCCATAATCGAGTCATTACCATAATCATAGATGCATCAGTTAAAGTCTGCTTCATAATAGCGAAGTTTTCGTCGAAGTAATTGAACAGTGGTTTCAGGGCGTTCTCGACGTCTTGGGGAGTTAATGTTGGGGCTACTGATTGTCGATTCTTCCAGAGACTGGTTACTGATGCTACTGAAATTCCTCGAGAGAGTAAGCCCTTTAGAGCGTCATGTGAAAGAGAATTACTGATGTATTGTGACAGCTATTACTGTTAGCCTGTATTCGTGAGTTGCAGAGGAATTCAAACATACCTTATCCGTGATCTTGCGCGTCATATCCCTTTCGGTTCTCTTGAGCAAACGGAAAGCCTTGCCAAAATAGAATTGGATATCATCACGTTCTCCCTCCATACTGACACGCAACAATAATCGGCCTTGTGTATCAAGATTGAGCCAATACTCACGGGGCATATAGTCGCTGAAGTGAGCTGGGTCCAACTTCAGGGAAGTTCTTCCAACGTAATCATGATCACCAAATGTGTCCCAATCCCAGATGGTCGCAATGATGTTCAATGGACCTTGTACCGTTATATCCACCGACTCATCCCAACGAGGATTGAGATTTCTCATCACGACTCGAGTCTTGGCTAAGCGCTTCTGATACTCGTCACCGAGAACGACATAGGGATCACTGGTGCCATTAGGGTCACAAGCCTTAAGATCCTCGCCTTCCACGATCTTAATTGTGAACACATATTTCGCAGTTCTTCTCTTTTTCTCTACCGGTGGTGCATTCTTGGCAAGAAGATCTGCACACGCATCGACGTTGATTGTCTTTTCGAGTGTATCAAGTTGCTGCACAGCATACTCGATATTGTTAAGCTTGACAAAAGACTGTGGCTTCATTAGATATGACCTTTACTCTTGCATAAATAGTACTTACTTCGGGGTAAAATTGGAAAGGTTCTATCTTCTCCTTGTTATTCCAAGCCTCTTTAGCCAATTGCATCCACTTCTCCTGTTTCGACTGTGACGCGGCCGCTTCTTGTGCGGGAGACAATCTGTCCATCTCTTTCGTGAATTTTTGCTCAATAACCTCGCAATATCTCGCAAGCCCAATGCCAAAAGATTTCGACAGAGCTGTCATAAATTTAGCGTGTTGAATCGTATCGGCCCAGTTAAGTTGAAAAATCTGATCAGCCATCTGGTTAAAGAGACGGAATACGTCAATGATAGACACACTGTGACGCTCATCATCTGATGGGATCTGGTCAGGATGGTCCGAGCGAACCTGGAATTGATCTTGTTTGATAGCCTGATCAACGAGATCTACTGTTTTCGCATCAGCAGTACGAATCCATCGCCAGACAAAATCAGCAAGCAAATCTTCTATATTGAAAGCGAAGGATCTACTGGGTAGAATTTCGTGATGGATGCTGCGGATCTCCACAAGTTCCTTGTATAGATCAAACCCATCCTGTAAGGGGACTTCGCTTTCATTGGTGTGTGCTACGTGGAGAATTCTCTGAATTAAATCGTTGGCATCATCCTCGAAGCTAGGAAACATCGTCTCCACAAGAATGGTTAAAGGATTGACACCCATGATTTCAGGATTCTTCCGATATCTCTTTTGAATCCGCTCACATAACTTTACGACGGATTTTCCCAACTGAACAACATGAAAAAATTCCCATTCCTCTTGATTTTGAGGAACTTCTGCTTCAAGATATTCCCGATATACTTCTGCAGCTTTAGATCTCAGACCTTCAACCAACTGTTCAACATAAGTATCGTAGCCGCCGGGGCTTGTTGAGAATAAGGGGTCGCTTTTGATATGGGTTTCTAGGATAAGTAGGACTGGGCCAGGAGAAGGCGGCTTAGCCTCATAGCAATGTTGTAGAAGATCATATAGATCACGGAGAAGTGCGTCATGTAGATTTGTCAGAATTTGACGGTATAGAGCAAAATCATGTATCGTCCAGTTATTTTGATCAAAAGAGGATAAACTCGCAGAATGTGTGTGCGTATGTGCACGCTTAGCTTCCGTAGGTGGGTTTTTGATAAATTCGAAGGCAGTATCAAGCTCATCAAGTCCGATCTCTTGATCTAAGAATTTTTGGCTTGCGACATCCAAGAAGAGAACAAGTCTTGAGAATTGAGGGAGTCTCCAGCGGATACATAGTTCTGTCAGCAAATCTAGAGATTGTTTGCTGAGAGGTTGGGAATCAACGCAATCAGCCTGAGCATGAATTTGATCATGAGTCATGGCATAAGTGAGGATCGTTCGATAGTATGCTCGTGTGTCTGTCGGTATAAATGTATATGTGGCCTCTTCAAGAAATATTTTGGAAGGCTCATCATCTTCCAGGGACAACGAAGTCATATCCGCGGGTTGCTCAAAATTGTAGCCCGAGCCTCCATCTATTGGGCTTGTGATGGCTATAGACTTAGCTAGGTCTGCATATGCTTGATCTTCAGCACCCGAAGAGGGTACGGAAAGAGGTGGGAGAGGTGGGAGAGCCCTATTTTTGCCAGTTGCCTTGACGAGATCTGGTCTAGCTTGAAGTATCTCAGAAATCATCGCTGAAAGTTCTGGTATTTCTGCCCTCTTCCATGATTGGTATCCTTCATCAACATCAAAATCCTCGCTTCGTAGAGTTCGTTTCGTGTTCGAATTCAGGCAATGCTGGTAAGACTTTAGATCATTGAGCGCTGCAGATTCCGTCCAAACATTCTTGTTCAAGTCGATGTCTGTTTGGACCTCCGAATTGCTCATACCAAATAGCTTTCCAACAACTAGTGCCATGGGCATATCTTTGACATCGTAGCTCACTGGGGCAGTCACCTCAATCGAATGCCCACCGCCTGGAGCAGTAGAAGAGTTAACATATAAATCTTGGGAATTCGTCAATAACTTGTTCTCCAAATTTGCTAGACGACTCATCAGCTCAGGGCGATCTTTGTCTTTTTCAAGATCCTTCAAAGTTGTACTAATCAACCTCACGAACAGAGCCACATGGCGATCCACAAGGTTTTTCCACGATTCGTCATCCGCTGTCTTGCCCTTCTGTAGTGATTTAGTGGCATTCGAAAAGAATATCAATACCAAGTCTTCAACACGTCTCTCTTTATCCATACGCCTTCGAAAACCTGGTTCGGTAAGAGCTGTATACGCCTCTGCGAAGGTTCTTTTGACGACCGGTTCTTTATATTCTGGGCGCCTCTCAGTTCCCGTCAAGACTCCCTGCAAACGTTTCTCCAACTGCGACATGAAACCATTGGGGAATTTGGTTTTTGTATCCTTTGTGAGGGAAAAATCCTGCATTAACTCTCCTATCATAACACTCTTCCTTGAAATCACCTTTCTCTCTGCAGGGATATATTGTTTGGTCTTTCGTCGGGGTTGCAGAAGGTGGTGCAGATACGCAACTCTAAGGGCGAATGTATATGCATCGGTATAACTAACAGCTTTCGGTCGTGATCGAGAACTATTTCGAGACATGGACATGCGCTCGCTATTTGCGAGACTATTCACCCGACGGTTGGGTCGAGTTCGAGAGGCGGTCGACATCTTATCTTCCTGAAGAGCACTTATGCGGTGGATAGACAGAGAGGGGGAAGGGGGGGAAATCGTGCCAAGTCTTGGTTCAATGTTCTTGGGAAACCAGATTTATCTTTTTCTCGAATATGCGATTTCAGTTTGTGATACTATCTGATTCTGATTCTGTATGATGGCCGTAAGAGCATTAATATATCTTGACAATGAAATGCGATAATAAATTCAAACATGTAGAGAACGAATGAGGTAATGAAGTAACGAGGTATCTTCTTTTGTAAATGTCAAAGGGAGGGAGAAGTAAGGAGTAGAAGTAGGCTGACTTACGATTGGATTGGGAGAGAAGTTGGAGTTGGAGCCACTAATCTTTTTTTCCAGGGGGATCAGATGCTCTTAAAATGGCCTGAACTTGCTTAATCTGAGGGACAAAATGATAAGTGAGTAGTAAATGGTGTGTGCACTGCTGGATACTGTGTACTGTGTACTGTAACTAATTGTATAGACAGGTATTAATGCATGCGCAAAAAAAGAACTTTGATACTTTTAATCTGTAGCAAGGTTATCTACCTATACCTATGTATTGTATCATTCAATTGTAATGTGAGGTAAGGAAGGGTAAGGTGGTGAGGTAAAAAAGAAGAAAGGGATCGTTTGTCTCACTGGGGGGTTTTTAATGAAGGGAAGGTGGAAGATTCATAGTCTAATAATGTTGTTTATTATTCAATTTCTTTCCCCAATTATAAAGATTTAATTTCTAGATATATATTATCTAACATTGACCCTTCTCATAAGAGCCTTTAGCACTTAAATTGTTTGTCTCTGTGGATAGCCTTCAACCTTACTCGTACAGAGAGAATAGATATCCGGCAGTGGAGGGGGGAGGCATATCTTGCCATCACTCACTGAATGCACTGCACGGCCACTTGATTAGTTTATTTGTTTCTATGAATAGCTTAAAACAATGCTCTATAAAGCCTGTATCGGAAACTGTAAGTAGGCCTAGTTACTGCCTAGTTGTGCCTGAAAAAAACAAATAAAAAGCAATAATAAGCACCTACCTAGGTCCTGTAGTACTTCCGCTCCGCAATTGGTTGTTAAAAATTGAACCCATCAACCCCCATTCATTCATCATCAATTCACTGTACCCCGTATTGATCTATTATCAACTTCAACCACCAGATAACAGCACCCTGCCTCATACATCAACCTTTATATTAATTCAAGAGACCAGAACCATCAACGAAAAAGATATTGGAATCGTCGCAGATACCTATATCCGCTATATGATCAGTTTAAGTTTATATAGCATCAAGTATGCTGGTTGCTCATAGGAAGGAAAGTACTACTACCACCACCACCACCGTGATCGATCCCATACCCATACACGAAACAGCATCCTAACATCTCAACGCCGCATCACAATGACAGCCCACGTTCCTCCTCCCAATTCGCACCTCGATGATATCGTATCACAATCCGACGAACTGTCTTCCTCTTGTCCAAAGACTTCCGCCGCTGCACAACCAACTGATAATTCCATGTTATCTGATCGGGCTTCCGGTGGTGCAATGGCTACACCCACCTCTGCCTCCGAAAAGGCTGACGAGGCTGGGATCGATGATGCTAGGACCAAGATTTCCAATTTGCTAAAGGATAAAGAACAAGAATGGGCCGCTGTAATGGAGAGGAATGGTCCTTTGCGGTTGCTGGATTTACCCATGGATGTTTTAAAAGAAATTGTAAAGGAGGTAGATCAATCACCTTCCAGCCTTCTCTCCTAAAGCTGATGGAATGTTTAGGTTACTCATACGAATGATTTGACTTCACTTGCACTCACTCATTCCGCCTTGCATAACCTAGCGATACCCTATATCTATTCGCGGTTCGATATCGTTTGGCCCGATGCACATGCTACGTCTGATCCGAGGACGGGCGTCGATGCGCTTACTTATGGACTTTCTACTCTATGTACGGGGAACGCCTTCACGAATTCAAATCCAGCACAAGCTTTTGTTTGTAAACATTGCGGAACAGATAATTCCACAGATTGCAGCCATGGAGTCAAACCAGAGCTCTCTAGCGCCCCCGGGCGTATTGGCAATGAATATCCACAATTTACTAGGAAGTTCTCCCTTGGAAACGGACCTACCGACTGGGTACAGGAATATCTGATAACTAAAGAGAGTGGGAAGATGTTGGGTACTCTTGTTGCATTGGCCGTCGCTAGGATGATAAATCTGGAAACATTTGTATGGGATATGCCCACAGGGGTGCTGAGGGACGTTTGGCTTGCCCTATCCTCTTTACAATATAAAAGTACAAACCAAGAATGCCGATTGGAGCGTGTTTGGGTCAGGTGGCATGATAATACGGAAGCTATTCAAATATCTCCAACACAGAACCCAAGCTCCCCGGCCATCACGACAAATCAAATGCTGGCTGGGACGATAATGAGCTCCATAGGCTGGGTAGTACCATCCGGTTCTTCAACAAGTTCACCGACACCTACGCAGCCCATACAATATTCACAAGGTCGTGTGGAGTTTCCTACACTCAGCGTACTTCCACCATTACGAAGCTTATCTGTGTTGGACATTGACGAAATTGATTATCTAGATGAGATGAGCGTCTTGGTAGAGCGTTCGAAGGACAAACTTCGGGAACTTCGCATCGGTATTTCTACGAAGGCTATTCATCGCGATTTTGCTCTTCCGTGGGACGGACCTGGGCTCCAACAAGTTGATCACGAAGCGAAGTGGCCTGGTGCAAGTAGGATCGGCGAGCGAAGATTAGGTGGGGTTCTAGGAATCATCCTGGGTCGCGTGTTCGATGTTCGAAACAAACGAAAAACAAAAAATGAGAGAAAGGTTGGGGGGCCTAAATTAAATTCTTTCGTGAGCAATAGCCAGCAGCTTGACCAACAAAATGGCAACAACACCGCGGAGGATGCGGTTCCGGAAATATCCGGGGATGGATATATGGAGTCAGGCTGGAGTAATAAAGAAAGTTTGGTGGCGTCAGGTGGACCTAATCCCACTGGGATAGCATTCAACATCGAAGCAGACTCCCTTCTAGATAATGTTGATCCTGACCAAGAACAACCCTTGTCCAGTACTCTCCTAACGCCTCACTCTGATATGGACTCACTTACTGCGCTAATCTCCGAACATCAACTCACCTCAAACAATGATATTACAGTCCATGATATCTTACAACCACATATTCCTTCCGATATCCCTGCAGAACCTCCTTTGCGACGTTCTCAATCATTGAATAGGAAGCATGCACATTTTCCCGAAATTTCTCCCAGTGCCGCCAGAGACAGGCTTGAAGGGAAACTACGCCTACAGACATTGGAACTGGAACGGGTTCCTTTATCCGTGTACGTTTTGCAAAGGGCCTTTGACTGGTCAGTCTTGACCAACCTGACTATTCTCGACTGTCCACAACACGATAAACTTTGGTTCACACTCAGAAAACATTTTGCGCCATCACCAATAGGCAACCATACCTCGACAAAACATAGCAGTCAAATGTTATATCATCTGAATCTCAAAAAAGTCCATACTGATGCGGCGTCCCCTTCTCTCATTTCATTCCTGAAAGAAACCTTGGCACCAAATACTTTAGAAACACTGTTCTTACAAGATCGAAAACGAGCAACAAACTCTTCGGTGACAATTGTAAGCTTAATGTCCTTGTAAGTACATCGATCGAGTGCTAATCAGACCATAGGAATCTATCTATCGAGGGCCACTCAAGAGACATCGTGCTAGTCTCAAAAAGCTGTTATTGGACAGCTCAGAGAGACTACCAAGAAATGTGAATAGTTCAGCCGAATCCTCTAAATGGAAAGCCTGGATGCCCAATCGTGATGTCCTGAATTTTATCACTAGTGGACGTATGAGCAGTCTCCGCGAATTAAGTATTGCAATTGACTACAAAGATTGGGTAAGTCACCTAAAAATCACCTATTGACATACATTCCTAGCCTCCTTGGAATGGTATCTATTTATTACAATATCTAACAAACGCTAGCATCACTTTCTCCAACGCCTACCTCAGGTACCTCAACTTCGCTCTCTCAGTATTCCTTTCATTGCCGACCATATCACTCCCTTATTCGACCCCAAAGAACTTGCTCATCAAATCCTCGACGTCATTTTTCTCCGCCCCGAAGTCGAACTTTGCTACGTCGGAATCTCACATAAATGTTTCGAAATTTTAGAAAATCGCCCTCATGAAGAACCATCACATTTACCAAATGATCCTCATACATCAGCCGCAAACGGCGATCCCACAACCGACGATGAGGATGATGATGAAGATGGGAGCGAGGAGGATGAGGATGAGGATGATGAAGAGGATGAGGATGGGGAGGAAGATGATAACGGGACGGCTATTGCTCCGATTGATCCAGATGAAACGGAGGACGAGTTATCTGATGGCGAGGAGGATGACGATGGTGGTGAAAGTGATGAGGATAGCTGGGATGGAGCCAATGATTGTGATGGTAAGGGGAAGGTGAGGTTGAGGTTGAGGGAGATTCTCTTTTATGATGACAAGGTTGCTATATTTAAAGCGAGGCATGGTAGACTTTGATAGCGTGGACTGGGAGCGGTTCAATGGAGCGATTTGATGGATGTAAGTAAAGGGTTGGGAATCATGATTGATGGATGGATGGATGGATGGATGGGGCTGGCTTTGCAAATCAAGGAAAGGAGTAAAGGATGGGTTAGGTGGCAAAATCAAAAGGAACGATCCATTGATTGATTGATTGATTTCATCTGGCTATGATATTATATAATACATTATGGAGATAGGGAAATTCTTTATACTCGAGTATATTGTTATCTATTTTTACTTCTTCTCGAAACTTTTCTTTTGTAAGGGATGATGTGATGGGTCGTCGTTATATATTATTGTGGAGGGTAATATGAAATAGGATGGGTTGGGTTGGGATGGGATAGGATCGATTAGGATGGATTAGAATGGGATGGGATAGGGCGGATTAGGATGGGATAGGATGGATTATAAGATGGTCGTATAGATAGATGTATAGCTCAGCTGTATGGTATGGCATGGATGAAGGGGACTTTTTTTTGGCGAGGGTGTATGTATGTATGTATGTATGTATATATTATTAAAAAAATGGCTATGGCTATGGCTATGGCTATTTAATCGTATGGTATGGTATGGTATGGTATGGTGAATGGAGCTCTTTTAGAGGGAAAGGAGGGGTTTGGGGATGGAGATGGAAATGCATAAATGTATAAATGCGATTCACTTGTGTTGTGTGTTTTTTTAATAGAGAATCTTTTGCTTGTTGGTTACTTGTTTGTTTATTTGTTTGTTTGCTTGGGAAATCTTATGGGGTTTGGGGATGGTGGATGGTGGATGGTGGGATGGGATGGAATGGGGGGGGGAAGGGGGTGAAAATTAAGTAATATGATTATGGTTTGGATGTGGATTGAATGTGGTTTGAATATGCAATGAATATGGAATGAATATGGAGCTCAAAGATTACCTTTCTGCAACAACATCACTTTAAATCATCTCAAAGCCCCACAAGGCATCATGAGTCAACGTACCTCCTCGCAGTTGGCGTAGCCATGTTTGGTTTAACTATTGCCGCCCCAGTTGCGTAAGATTCTAGCCCTCTCCCATTTCGGATATTATCATTCTAACACAAACACAGTGCCCCAGAGGCTGAAGCGTAAGTTCAGTTTCCTTTGTGATAAGATTTTTTGTTGACATGGGTTATTCGGAGTGCCCCATAGAGCGAAAAGAGCTGGGAAGAAAAGCGTGACGCTACTCCATGGGCAGAGAAGAGATGGGCGGAGAAGCGATCCGCTGAAGCTACCCCTGAGCTTCTAGCATAAGTCATGGTAGCTCGCCCTAGCAGCTGTGATGCTGAAAGGGTCACCTCGATTGATGGCTACTAGCCATGTACATGGGTAGGTTGACCATTTGTGATGGTAGGAAAGAACCTTTTTTGGCTAACCATTGCTATAGCTGTTGTGCTCAGATGGCTGTGTGCTCAACTCGTTCATTCTTATCATCTTTGACTTTGCATGTTTCGTAATCGATCAGAAGAAAATATGGTCGATAGCTGTACTCGAGTATTGGAGATTCTGCAATCTCAAGAATTGTCAAGTATCTGAATAGGTTTAGTGATCAATATAGGTTCTAATGCTCGCGGTCGTTGATATAATATGATGAGTATACCGGTATGTTTATAGAAACCATAGAACTCGTAGAGGTGGTGCTAATTTTGAGCTTTACGGAGGGAATTGATCCGTGAGCCGGTTTGCCAGTGCTGTATAAAAAATGACAGGGTCGAGGATTGTCGTGAATGTACAAGTACTCGAGTATGAGTATATTTGTGATGTAAAATACCTACCTTGTCCATCTCATTGCGATTCTAGCAAAATAAATAATAAATCCAATGCACAGTACTCCTACTCAGTAGTGCTCTTGCGATGTCTCATCTACTACTCGAGTAATAAGATATGAATGAGGTTCTTGCGCAACTGTCACTCAAAGGTAAGGAAGAAGTCCCACAATTTCCTTCTTTCGACCTTGATTATGTTCTCTCTCATAGTGACCTACCTCATCAAAAATCGGTGAGGGATTCCTTCACTTCGCTTTGCAATTCTCAAATATAGAGAGATTGGGTTCAAAAGTTGTTGTACTATCTTTTATTTGGGGCATAGGGGCATAGGGTCTCACGGCACACAAAACATTGTCAAATCGTTTTGCGCCACCCACCAGCTACAGCAGAGCGTTTGTGGAATATTTCCCACCTGGAACACGGTCCTGTAAAGTTCAAACAGAACTTCTACGCCTGTCGCTCTTCTATTCTTCTCAATTTCTGTTCTGTCGCAAGAAAATAGGAAATGGCAAGCTTCTTTCCCGCAAAACTGGCCGATCCTCCAAGTCCACGAGATGTCGTAGCCAACTATCAACGAACCTTCGACAATCACGCATCGGAAGGAAAACTACGACCTATGGTTTTGCCATATCATCTATATGGCGTCATATTGTTGGGAATATATCTATGTGTGCGCCACACGAATCGACCAATATTATACAAGGCTCGGTGGATAGTGTTGGCTGCTATAACATGGTTTCAGCTCAAAACGCTATGGCATACGAGCAGCACGAATATGGCCTTTAGCTTCGTGGCAGGCTTGATGAGTACTTATGGTATTGCGACTAGTTTGACCTGGCTGGTCTTCATGCGGCCGCAGTTTGATGCTAAGAGAGTCGAGAGAAGGAAGATTCCGAAAGATAAAACTGTTACAAAGAATAGCGAGGGGAGAGCTACGGCATATGCAGGGAGCATCGAATCGGATACAAGGCAGCGTTCAAAACCGAACGGAGAACCAAACGGAATTCCTGACAGCCCAAAAGTTCCAAATAGAAACGATGTAGGATCAGCCCATGGACGACCAGCCGCAGATGGGACGATGGAGGAGACTGAGTATTATTGGCAATCGTACCCAGAAAATATACGGGAGAGACTAGACTGGATTTCTGACTTAGTCATCAACTTTCGTGGACCGGGTTGGAACTGGGCAATTCCCAGTCTACCAAAGCCTCCCCCTTCCGTCTATGCTAAATTAGGAGAACATGTCGATGAAGTATCGAGGAAAGACACATCCTCAACAGGCATCAAATGCTTCACCACAAGACAAGAAGTCTTTCGAGCTCAAGTTCCCCGTTTCATTATAGGATATTTCTTACTTGACGTTGTCAAAACAACCATGATGAATGATCCATATTTTTGGCTTGGCCCCAACGATTATGCTATGCCTGTCTACATCGCAGCAATGTCCCCGTCCATACGTTGTTTATATCGCGAGCTTTTATCAATGGCAGGGGTTCTTATTTCCATAGACATGGTCTTTCTTCTCCCCCCTCTCACCATGTGTTTACTTCTGGGTCCATCCTCGTTCATGGGTCTCAGAGGGGAAGCATGGTATTACCCGACTACATGGGGTTCTTTCTCAGTCTTTGCAAATAAAGGCCTAGCTGGGCTATGGGGAGGTGCCTGGCACCAAATCTTCCGCCTTATATTTTCTGCTCCAACGAATTATCTCATCGCAAATGGATATCTAAACCCCAGATCCCCAACTACCAAACTCGTCGCTTCGTTCTTCGCTTTCGGTCTATCTGGAATTTTGCATGCTGGTGGCAGTATATCTCAAATCCCCTCTACCAAACCCTGGGCTCCACCTGTATTCTTCATGCTGCAAGCTGTTGGGATAGTCCTACAAACAGGATTATGTACTCTACTCCGCCAACATATCAAGAAAATTCCGAAATTCATACGACAATTAACGAATGTGATATATGCAGTATCATGGGGTTTCTTGACTGGATGGTTGTTAGCGGATGATTTTGCCCGCGGGGGGATTTGGCTTTATGAACCCATTCCCATTTCTATACTTAGAGGAATGGGATTTGCTGGCAGAGATCATGGGTGGTGGTGTTGGAAACATGCAGGGATTGGGTGGTATACGGGAGAACATTGGTGGGAGAGTGGTATTGCTATATGATTATATGATTGGTGCTTAGGATTTTGTCTGGTATCATTTATGGAAATGGCTGGAGTTTATAGAATAGAATCACCAATGGTTCTGGTATATTATGAAAATTTATGTTGAGAGAAATACGAAAGATATAGAGTTTCAGAGTTTGCAAATGTCCGGAATAATCCAGATCTCCAAATTTTCAAAATTCGAAGATTTGTGTATCTGCGAGTGTTGTCTAATGCATGCATGATCAAAATTGTCTTAGTGACCGCATATAGTAGCTTTTTACTATACTATACTCGAGTATAGATAGATAGACCTCTCTAAGAAGCTAGCCTCGCCATATCCTCCATTTATATTCGAATTGAGAGAATGGTTTCACGCGCTAGATGATGATCAAAAGACAAAGTTAGTACTGCGATGGAGAAAGTTTCTCCGGGAAAGAGTAGTATGTACTATACCCATCTCAAAATTTGCCGACGACAGAAGTACCGATGAGTATTGCGTATACTTTGATTGGGGTCTCTATCTAAGACTAAGACTAAGACTAAGACTAAGACAATCTATATCAAAACCCTGGATGCAAGGGCAGTTGAGCAACTACCGTTATTGGCTATGTATGAGTAACTCACTCGTCTTATGATCTTATAGTCCCCACGAAAGGGCCCAGTTGCCCAGTTGCATGTCCCCACAATCTGCTGCCAAGTACTGTAAGCACTGTGGTACATATGGCATGCCTCTTTTTCATGCACAGTACGTGACTGGCAGTATATTACAGTAATATACATGCATGCAGTATCTCTCTCCTGCCTCTCTCTGCCTTAGCTTCGCTTGCTTTAATGGCAATAATCTACGGCAATTTTATCATACCTGTAATAATAAGTTTTCTTCGAACTAGGAATCTTTTGACAAATACAAATACCCGAATATGGTAGACATTTGGGATCTACTCGAATAAAGAAGAGAGTCTTGTTGAGCTTTCGTGCTCGTATTGACTGATTTGATCGATTGGCCATGAAAATACTAATGATTCCCCTAACCTTACGGCTAGATACCGATTGATACCCCTTCTCTACACGAAATACTTGTACTAGTGTTGATAATCAAAGTAGATAAGGTCACCAGAAGCTGGGTATGTCTACGGAGGTACCTAGTATGTCTACTCATAGATTGTGGGGTAGTGGCATATGAAGTGGACGAAGGTGGAGTTGTCATCCACCTGGCACAAGTAGCGTATAAACCCCGCATTTTCGCTTCTCCAAATTATTGCAAATCCAGACATCAAGACATCATTGGAAAATGGGGGTTGCCCGGTTATCTGACCGTCTGATATAAAGTATCCAACATCCTCGCCAATGTCGTGAATATGTTATCTTCATTGGCTGTTCCATAGTTGTATACTTCCTTGTCGATTTCAGCACAAGATCCTATCTCATTCTACATAATGGGCCCTCAAAATATCAATGCGGAGGAGAGAACTGTTGGTGTTGAGTCTCGAGATGAGAAGCCTGGTATCAATCACGAAGACAATATGGATCGCCTCAATAAGAGCGCACATGCTATTGCAGAGAGAGGTCATGAAGCGACTGATAGGTCTGTAGTCCGGGATATTCCCATATTGATCGGTTGCTTATATAAAATCCAGGCGAGGTCAATCGCTCGTCACATTTGACCCTATTGCGGAAAGAAAACTGAGATTGAAGATTGACTTAATGATCGTTCCTACTGTGGCATTATTGTATCTCTTCTGTTTTATTGATCGAGCAAATATTGGTAAGTCCTCGACTGAAACACCTACCGAAAACCTTCCTCCCTTTTCATTTCACATGGGACGTTACTAATTCTAAGGTTCTAGGCAATGCCAAACTTGCGGGACTTGAAAAGGACCTGAACTTGGCAGGATATGATTACAACAAAGTCCTGTCTATCTTCTACATCTCATATATCATCTTTGAAATTCCCTCAAACATGGCTTGTAAATGGATAGGTCCGGGTTGGTTCATTCCCGCAACTTCGTTGGCGTTTGGAATTTGCTCGATTGCCACGGCGTTTGTTCATAACATCCACACCATCTCCGCCGTCCGTTTCTTATTGGGTATATTTGAGGCGGGTATGTTTCCGGGGATCGCATACTATCTTTCTCGTTGGTATCGGCGATCGGAATTGGCGTTTCGTCTATCGCTATATATTGTCATGGCTCCATTAGCTGGTGCATTTGGAGGTCTGCTCGCCTCGGCGATTTTGAAGCTTCCAAACTTTGGTACGCTTCATACATGGCGAATGATCTTCGCCATCGAAGGTATCATTACCTGTTGTCTATCAGTCATCGCCTTTCTCACCTTGACCGATCGTCCTGCCACCGCAAAGTGGCTTACGCAAGAAGAAAAAGATCTCGCCATCGCTCGTGTAAAATCCGAACGAGTTGGAGCTACTGAAGTATTAGATGCATTCGATACCAAGAAAGTCCTCCGTGGTATCTTCTGTCCGGTAACCATCGCAACTTCCCTTATTTTTCTCCTCAACAATATTACTGTCCAAGGTCTCGCTTTCTTTGCCCCAACCATTGTAAAAACCATCTACCCGAAAGCGACCGTTGTCTCTCAGCAACTCCACACTGTCCCTCCTTACATCGTCGGTGCATTCTTCACACTTCTCTTCCCGTTTCTCAGCGGGCGCTTCGACCGTCGCAACATATTTCTCATCACGAGCACGCCCCTAATGATGTGCGGATACATCATGTTCCTAGCTAGCACCGATGCCCCAACGCGCTACGGCGCCACCTTCCTCATAGCCAGCGGAGCTTTCTCTTTCGGCGCTCTATGCAATGCCCAAGTTGCCGCCAACGTCGTCTCCGATACCGCACGCTCGAGTGCCATTGGTACTAATGTCATGATGGGTAATGTTGGGGGTCTCATCTCCACATGGTCATTCCTACCCACCGACGCACCCGACTATCATATCGGGAATGGACTTAATTTGGCGACTGGAACGTCTATCTTCTTCTTGTCGATTGCGTTGCTTTGGTGGATGAAAATGGATAATAAAAAGAGGGAAGTGAGAGATGTGGATGCCGAGTTGGATGGTTTGAGTCAAAAACAAATTCAGGATTTGGATTGGAGACACCCAGGATTCAAGTGGAAGCCTTAGTGATAGGAATTCTCGAGGCCTATGATGAGTATTTTGTAATGTACTGCATGACGACGATTGATTAATTATGATTTAACTCTATATCTCCTAAACGGGGTATCAGTAAGCGTCAAATACTGGAATAATCCGAGAACGGTTTCTAAGGAAGAGACTTTATGCAGGTGAAAATAGATCTCATATTAAAGATTTGGGCCAGTGCTATTTCAAATTCTGCATCTCGTACTTCAATATCCTCTTAATTTAGTCCAATATCTCAAGATACAGTAGCAGACTAGCACTTTCTCAACATCAATGCCTATTACCCCGACCTCGGTTAAGGATTATTGCTGGTGATAGGAGTAGTATACATGATGGAATAGGCCAAGATAATACATATCTTCATAATTTCGGTTTATATTTTTGTACAATCTAGTAACTTGTTTGTATTGCGATGGCTATTCTATTGCGTTTGTCTGCATAAAGCTCCTCTGGGTCCTATCGACAATGATGATGATATTGTCTAAACTCAGTTAACTGAGTCAGTCCAGCCGTGTTTGGCCTAGTTATCGATCACACTAAGCAAGCTAGAAATAGCCTAATTTTGATCGCTCAAGCAAGAATATAACCTTTTTAAATGACAGTGCCTTTTCCCCACCAGAATGGCCACCACGCTATACCTTTTTCATTCAGAATCACCTAATCCGGTATACTACGCGAAGTGGAAATCGAGGATTAAGAACATATATATAGCCTATGATTATGGCTCTGACTATGACTATAGACTCTTTTGCTTTTGGCCCCCTTTTCCCCCATTTCTTCAAAAGTTTCAAAAGCTTCATATCTATAATATATATATCATCATTTCAACGGAAAAATATCAACCCCTAAACCATTGAATCCTTTTCCCTTTCCTTCCTCTTCCTCTCCCTCTCCCTCTCCCTCTCCCTCCTCCTCCCTCTCCCTCTCCTTTTCCCTTTTTCCCCACCTACGTGGCCATTTTTTTAAGCCCCATTTAAAATGATATCATATATTAGCTCCACTTAGCTTTGCCAAAAAATATCAGCAATATATCAAAAGACGAGAGTCTCATTTCCTCACTGTAATTATACAGCTAACGTTATCGAATGCTTTTGTAGAGAGTCTCCCTTCTCAAATCCTGCTCTTTGGGGATCTATGGAAACAGCTTATATATACTTGTCGATCGGGCAATAATTTGAGGAAGGATTTATCCAGAGTTCATAAATATCCCTTGATTATTGCTCCTATTAGCAAATCAACAAATCACACTATTGCTAGGCTTCGAAACTGGCAGCAATTATCAGAAAATTCTATTATGCAAGTAAATGATAGAGCAGCGATCCAATATGTCTTTCAAGGAGATGATATTTTAACCCAGATTGAAGAAGAGGAAGGCGAACTGGAAGTCATGGTGGATTAGGGTCAGGTTCTGGTGGTTGCAATTGCGGATTTGCGTTTGTGGGTTTGATTTGGGGGGAAGTTTGGTTCGGGAGGTTAGGGAAGTGTCTTTTAGGACAGGACTTTTGAGTTGTGGTTGGTTGTATTTAGGAGGATGGGATGGGATGGGATGGGATGGGATGGAATGGAATGGAATGGGATGGAATAGTATGGGTCCTCTTCTCTCCTGCATACTCCACCTCATGCAAACTTCTCTTGGCCTAACTAGCACATTACCTTACATAAAGTAAAGCCCTAGTTAGGCCCAAAATGCGTAAGGTAATGCGTTTGAAAAAAAACAATTCGCTAAAAAAAAAACTATATATAATTAAAAATAAAGCATATCTATTATATTACTCTTGAACTTCTTAATATTTTTTTCTATTGAGTTTTCGATTTTTAGAAAATCTAAAAAATCTAAATATTATATTGAAATATTATAAAATAAGAATTATATTAATAAATCTATATAAATTTCTATAATTCTAAAATTATTATAAATCCTTTTAATAAAATCATATTTACATTTTTTAGATTTTCTGTTACCGCGTAGAGACTAATCCCCTTCCGGGGACTAGCCGGAAAAGCGTGGATGTGAAAGGATACAAAGTATTCTTTTATATCCTTTATTCTTTATTAGTTAGTCTATACTGAAATC